GAAGCCAGGTTGGTTGTATGTTATAATGAAGTGGATGTAAAAAGTCAGGCTAGTAGTGCAGCCTGTTCGAAGTGCAGATTACTTTGGGCTTGTCTTTCAGCCTTTTGGCTTCAGATGCTATGCGATGTCGTCCATCTAAAGTCAACTCAACTTTAAAAATTTAACTGGTTACAAGCTCAGTAATGGTAGTCTATTCAATATTAGGGCTGCTGAGTCGACGTACGTTAGTCGACTATCGTCGACGACTGAATTTAATAGTCGACGCGTCGTTTGAAGCTTTGTAAGATCACAAAAGACGCAGGAATAAGTAGGATTTAAGAGTGTAATAACGGACTGAAACAGAAGATGGCAGCACTGCATGTACAAGGATGCCAGCTGCCGTTAAACCCCGAAGAAGAAGAAGCTTGTCCCAGAATTCATAGCGCGGCCAGCTCGTCCAACAATGGCGGCAGCTAGTTAGTTTTAATATTACTCTTATTATTCTTTCTGGGTCACAAAATAAACGTTTAACATATTTTCAGGCGAGAATGTAGCTGTGTAAACCTCAAATATCTGCTCAGTTTATCAAGACACCCATATTTTCAAAAGCGCTCCGACGTTTTCGGAGACGTCTGTTACCCACTAGCTCGATAGCTAGCCGGGGGCTAGGTCACTAGAGCCCGTGAGAACACCGGACTCCCGGCAAATCGTTTTCAAACCCACCGCCGTCTTTCGCTACTCAGGTTAAACATATATAAGTCACTTAGATAACTTAAAAATGTTATTGTTTGGCTTTTTTCAGTATTTTATTTGTTCCTGAGTAAATCGGTTTGGCTGAGATTAAAGTTATAGTTTTTACACAGCTGAATAAACGTCAAGCAGACAGCTGATTATCAGAAGTGTGAGATGCTGAGAATATACTCCGGTGTCCTGTTATATTTTAGATAGCAAGGAGTTTATTAAACTTCACCGAAACAATCTGCAAATTTCATTAAAATTTAATAAACTATCATCTTGTCTTTATTTTTAGTTAGCACATACCTTAAACACTTAAAGCTGTAAGCTAATGATAGTTATATAAGAGCAGATGCATGCTGGTGCAATAAGCTGACGTTTTACGTCCAATGGATGCATGATCTGATTAGTGACTAATCGCAAAAATAATCGGTGACTAGTGACTATCAAAATAATCGTTTGTGGCAGCCCATATAGTTACTAAAGTCTCATGTGTGTCCTCCTTGTGTATGCCCCAATCAGTATTGACCCACCACAAGTGAAACAGGAATGGCTTTCTGGTCCTGTTGGTGAATGTCTATATCAATATTATTCTCATCTTAAATTTCCAGTTCTGTCATAGTCAATAAATATCTGATCTTAATTGTGAACGATATGACTTTGAGTGATGACAACCACAAACTTTTGAGATGAGATGTTATACTGCCAAGAGTTACATATCACAACCCCAATTGTTTCCAGCCTAGATTTAGACTCAAGCAATTTCTATCGCTGACTATAAGATGTTTTTGCTATTTCAGTCACTATTGCGACAAATTGTGTATCTTTTTTGATGTTATGTTTTTTACCTAAAGAGACATTGTGTTACAGTGAGCTGCATGCAGCGAGAGCGTCCTGGCAAAATTGGGACATAGCTGGTCTTATTCGACTTTATTAGAGAGTAATATGCAGTAATAAGGGGACACAAGTTCATATGGATGCATGCTCTAAATACAGTGGATTTCAGCTCATATGAATATGGTATTATCCAACGCTAGCACACGTCGATACATTGATTTTTTGCTAATACCGTGGTCATTAGTGCAGCGTAACTAATTGTATTGTGAACGATCTCTTGTTCGATCTCTGTTCTATGTAAACAGTTTTGCATCTAACCTGAATGACATCCTGGAACGGTTTAACTAGATCACAAGACAGTATTCTTACTCTCTCTATAGGCAGAAGAGACTTGCCTGTTTTGCTAGATCAATACTTCTAGCTATTCCCTGAAGTGTGCTTGATTGCAAAAGTATTGAATCATTGCTCTGCAGATGACCAAAAAAGCAAGACGGGCTTAATGACAAACTTTAGAGGAAGGTCTGACTAATGCATTGTTTGCATTTCAGTGTTGAAACTTTATTATTCACAGCTACATTACTCGTGGCTGACACCTACAAATCTGCTTAAAGTGAACAAAACCATTTCTGGTAACAATCTAAATGCCCAAAAGTCTGGGCCACCTACACATTGCACCCATAGGAGGTGCTCTGTTACAGAAATGCATGCCTTTGAAGCTTTGTTATTTTAAGTTTGCCATTTTAACATGGACTAGCCTACGGTGCACTGCTTTTTCCCTTCTTTAATAAAGCGCTGTATGTATGCTGATAACCAAAACATCTTTTTTGGTTGTAACAACAATATAAAGATATATTCAGTCATTGTCTTTGCAAGCTTTTGAGAAAACCTGATTAGTTTTTAAGGAGAAAAAAACTTAACCTGTAAACCTTGGGTTTTAATGTTTACGTGGAAAACCGTAACACACACACACACACACACACAACCCAATTGTATTGTAGCCTTCTAGACTCACATCATGGCTGCTGATCAAAGTTTGCCCACAGGCTGATCATTTAGTTTAAAATGCTGCTGGTGGCTTAGGCCATTGTCTTATTGTGAGAATTGCGTTGCACACTTGCCTGTGGTGAGGGCGTCTGGTAAGAGTTGGGAGTTCGCCTTGTAATCGGAAGGTTGCCGGTTCGAGCCCCGGCTTCGGACAGTCTCGGTCGTTGTGTCCTTGGGCAAGACACTTCACCCGTTGCCTACTGGTGGTGGTCAGAGGGCCCGGTGGCGCCAGTGTCCGGCAGCCTCGCCTCTGTCAGTGCGCCCCAGGGTGGCTGTGGCTACAATGTAGCTTGCCATCACCAGTGTGTGAATGTGTGCGTGAATGGGTGGATGACTGGATATGTAAAGCGCTTTGGGGTCCTTAGGGACGAGTAAAGCGCTATATAAATACAGGCCATTTACCATTTATATTTTATATCGCTACATGCAGAACAGACATGTGTAATATAGGAATGAATCACAACAATTAAAGGTTTACATAAAACTTAGCAGTACTTGCCGTAGCATTCACGCAAGTCCTGATGGTCGTCGTAAACATATTCAGTATCGCCAGAATTTGAATTTTTGTATTTATGTATTTAAAGACTTTATTTCTAATTCTTCGAACAAAATTCGTCATGAATACAAATATTAGTGACCATTGTTACATATGGGCATCGTGAAACAATAAATCTTTTTTTTTTTTAAACACATAGATGTTAATAATCAATGTGTGGTGATGGTCATGAAGACTTTTGTTCAGAATGGCCCAACCATTAAGGAGGATGTAGTAGTAATAATAATAATAACTTTTAATATTTATGATGCATAAAGACATGCATACGCTTTAAATACGCTTGCTGTATCATAGCAAGAAGATATTTATGAAATCATTTTTATATATTGCCCCAAGTGGTCTGTCAGTGAACTGCAGTTTAACCCCTGGTATTTACGGGTGCATATGGTGTAATTAATTTTTTTCCATTAGAGATGGTTGTTTATATCTGCATTAACTGTTAGTTTCTTTTTTCCAGCTTCATGTAAACTTCAGTGCACAAAATCCTAAATTCTTGAATATTTTGATAATTTGTGGGAATTGCATATTCATATCTGAATGATTTTTAAGTTATGTTATTAGTTAGCTTAGCTTAAAGTCTGGAAGCGGTCTCTCTGTTCGAAGTTTTGTTTGGGCAGAAACTAAACTGATTGTAGGGAAAGGGGGGAATTCAGGGAATCTTCGGGAAGTCACTTCATCAGATCTTGGACATCTGATGAAGCAACTTCATTTAATTTTTTAAGTTCCTTCCGGCAAGACTCCATGGGTGGAGCAAATGGCTAAATGCATAGTAGTCTAAAGTCACGTTAGGGTTTCACTTAGAAACCTCCGACGTGGAGTTGGCCTCATTTAGTAGGTTGAGGTCCAAAGTGTACTTTGGAGTCACATAGATAAACTTTGTCTTCAGCTGTGTGATAACTACCACTGTGCAACAGATTCCCATCAGTGACTTTGACTTGACTTGCTCAGTCTGCCAAACCTTACGCCTTAGTCAATAAAGTAACAAATTAATGAATTATTCAGAAGGTAACTCCTCCCCAACCCAATTAAAGCCTTTAATACAGGCGTAGCTCACAAACCAAGCCTGCAGCAAAACAGCCCCTGTCTTGAACGTCATCTGTAAGCAGCATGAGGACTCTCCAGGAAAAAATTATCATCCTTTCTGTTTTTCTGTCTTTGTTATGTGTCGTTCAGGTAAGTTATTTATTGTTTGTTGAACTTTCATGGAAATATTTTTTTTCTAATCAGTGTTTTATATGACAAAGCTAAAGGATCAAGTATTTGCCTTTAACGTTTACTCCGGTGTCCTGTTATATTTTAGATAGCAAGGAGCAGACTGCTGCGTTTATTAAACTCCACTGAAACGATCTGCAAATGTCATTAACATTTAATAAACTATCATCTTGTCTTTATTTTTAGTTAGCACATACATTAAACACTTAAAGCTGTAAGCTAATGATAGTTATATAAGAGCAGACTCATGCTGGTGCAATAAACTGTACGTTTTACGTCCAATGGATGCATGATCTGATTAGTCGACTGATCACAAAAATAATCTGTGACTAGTCGACTATCAAAATAATCGTTTGTGGCAGCCCTAGTATATATATACATGTGTGTCCTCCTTGTGATCCAATCAGTATTAACCCAACAATGACAGGATGGCTTTCTTCCTGTTGTGAATGTCTAATACAATATTATTTCATTTAATTCCAGTACTGTCATAAATATGTTAATATAAATTATACTGATTTACATTGCTGAAACCGGAATATGAAGCTTTGTGGTAGTGACACTGACAAACACACAAAAACTTTTGAAGCACTTAGACTGATTTTGTTTTTTATAACTTTATTGAAGCATTTTTAATAATAAAAAACAACAACCCCACATTGTTTTCCTATTGGCCTATGAATTTTTAGAGCACATATGACTAAATGTTATTTTTCTATCCAACGCTGCACACAGTTTCACTATAATATAGATGTTTTTGCTATTTCAGTCACTATTTTTCGCTGACAAAATCTTTTGTGTTCAATTTCTTTTTTTGAGTGTGTATGTTTGTTTTATGCCTAAAAGAGAACATTGTTTACACTACTACTACTACTCCCTGGCAAAATCGGTACTTAACTATAATCATAATTTATATGCAAATCTCTCATTAGGGTCACATGTATGACAGTTTGCACGTTGTCGTTTGCTATGACTCAACAATAAACTTTCTATGCTATTCCCTGAAGGTGTGTTTGTAGTTCCTGTCTGACATTGCAAAAGTATTGAATCATTGCTCTGCAGATGACCAAAAAAGCAAGACGGGCTTTATGACAAACTTTAGAGGAAGGTCTGACTAATGCATTGTTTGCATTTCAGTGTTGAAACTTTATTATTCACAGCTACATTACTCGTGGCTGACACCTACAAATCTGCTTAAAGTGAACAAAACCATTTCTGGTAACAATCTAAATGCCCAAAAGTCTGGGCCACCTACACATTGCACCCATAGGAGGTGCTCTGTTACAGAAATGCATGCCTTTGAAGCTTTGTTATTTTAAGTTTGCCATTTTAACATGGACTAGCCTACGGTGCACTGCTTTTTCCCTTCTTTAATAAAGCGCTGTATGTATGCTGATAACCAAAACATCTTTTTTGGTTGTAACAACAATATAAAGATATATTCAGTCATTGTCTTTGCAAGCTTTTGAGAAAACCTGATTAGTTTTTAAGGAGAAAAAAACTTAACCTGTAAACCTTGGGTTTTAATGTTTACGTGGAAAACCGTAACACACACACACACACACACACACACACAACCCAATTGTATTGTAGCCTTCTAGACTCACATCATGGCTGCTGATCAAAGTTTGCCCACAGGCTGATCATTTAGTTTAAAATGCTGCCTTCATCTATGGGGCGATCGTGGCTCAAGAGTTGGGAGGTCTCCTTGTAATCGGAAGGTTGCCGGTTCGAGCCCCGGCTTGGACAG